AACACGATGACAACGTCGCAGGTCGCCTTGTGGGAAATTCTGAGGGTCACACGGAAACGAGTCAGGCGACACGCACAATTAGCCCTTTGTTGTTTGGTCAATACTTTCCCTTGTCACATGTACAGCTGTTCTCACATGGCCATGTAACCACTTAAACACATGCAATTTCACCTGCATGAGCACACTCGCATACCTATCACACTAAACGTGCATCAATTCCCATCAGCCCGTATGTGACTGTGTGCATTGCGGTGGACCAGAAGACTCCTGGTTCAATAACCTAAAGGGGACACCACTGTCAAACATAAGCATTCAACTGTGTAGAGGAGAAATAGGTGAGCAACTCCCTCAGGAGGGGGAGGAAGTATGAATCTGCAGTAACAGAACAGAGCAGCGCTGCTACTGTGGCATCACAATTTGAAACCCATCACGATGTGCTTCCTCTCCTCAGTTTTAATAAAAAGCACTTCTTCCTCACCAAAAGCCAGATGTGATGAAAATTTATGAGCAACAAAAAGGCAGCACATCTCAGAATGGACAGAATGACAAGCAACGTATGCGTAACGAGGTCAGACATGTTGGATCTGCACAGCCTAGAAAGTGCAGGTGCTCGTGCCTGCGCTCGCCTCGCCGCATTGTTCCGCCGTTGGCATGCAAGCCAGAAGCAAAGCGAGGTCAGTTTCCATTATGCACAGCAGCATAATCCCCCGCTTGTGTAATTCCCTTTTAAAAAGCCTCCTTCTGGTGTTTCCCTGGAGTTGACGAACCTGCAGCACGGCTACCCGCTGGCGGATTTACTCCTGCACTCCCGCCAAATTTCTAGCCCGTGCCCCCCCCCTCCTCCCCAACATAACTCAGCATCATCAAATCCTGCCTTTTCTTTGAGACTCGCACACAGACATTTACAACACTGAAAAGAAAGACTAAACAGTAAAAAGTATTGCAACAATGAAATGCAGTTGAATGAACTAAAATTATATATGGGAGTTAATGCATATATATCTGTTGTGCCCACTACTTTATTTTATCTTACTTTGTTAATGGTCGTCCTCTAGTGTGTAAATCAGTATTGTATCAATTACAGTAAAAAAAGGGTACAAAAACTAAAATATGTGTATTTTTGCATTTTTATACAGAATTCAATGTTATTTATCACTAAAGACTGTGAAGATTTCCTGTAATGTCCTGTTTTAGTTATTTATTCCTGTTTTAATCCACCGATTACATCTAATCTTCTAGAGTAAAATTCTTTTTTAATGGTATTCACACTAATTTAGGAAAATAAACTATTTTACTCATTGTACAGCACCCGCAGGATAGGTTTACCCACAGTTCCTCCTTCTCCTTCCTCTTCTCATGCCTAACATGTGCTTCCCCACCCATGAGCAGATTAGTGCCACAGCTATATATCTGAAAACCACCATTATCAAATCACATCAGATGACACATCAGTACAAATCAAGCCATTCTGAAACCTCTGCTTTGATTTTGTGCACAGCCATCCACTTCTTCCAGGACAATTATGCCACTCGAGTGGGAGTTTTCAGTATATAGCATTAGCACCGTCTTTATTAAAGGTAAATTATGCCTCCTGCAGTACATTAGCCACTCATCAAACACAAGACTGATCACGCCCCTGGAAGCGTTGATAATTAATTATGAGTGTAGTTGCTACTTGTCAAATTTTGGTTAAAAAGAAAAAAAACACATTTATTCCATTTGTCATGGAAATGGCATCATGGTGTGACTCAAGGTCTGCATGTGACGGTTGACAAAAGTATTCAGAGGTTGCATCAAACAAGCATGACAAACAGTTTGGAAAGCAACTTCTGTTTTCCAGGGATTAATACTGAAGGGCCAATAAAAGAGGCACTTGTGATGAATGGCTGCCTTAGTTGCACAAGTCTCAGGACGCGGTACAACATTAGCACCCCACGAACTCGTAGAAGGGCTCCCCCGCCGATCAGAGAAATAATGATGAGGAAAACTGCATAGAGACTAAAGCTGGCCGAGCGTAATCTATGCAGCCCACAAACAGCAGCCTAATTAAAACAGAGCGCCGTCAGATGCTGCACACGCTCAGCAGAAAACCAAAAAAAAAAAGCCTCTGGTTGTAATTGTCATCCGAACCAGCCTGGGTCCATCCACAGTTACTGCTTCACCACCCCCTGGAGGAGGTATACAGCAGTTTTTTAAACTTTCAAATCGATTTCTCAAAAAGTTTGGCATGGATGTTTACAGAGACAAAAATAAATCACACATGTTTAAGGGACTGATATTTATGAGTGTGTCAGTGTAGATCCAAATATAAACCTAGTGATGTGGATTTATGAGGGGACTGCTGACTTCCATTCTAGGGTTGTGATACTGACTCATTTCTACACCACTTCCTTAAAATATATCAACTTCCACCGAGACAAAAAAAACATTCGAAACAAAAAAAAAGGGTTAAAAAAAATTTACTTTTAAACTGCAGAAACAGTACAATATATTGTAATGGCTAAAGCAAACTAAAAAACAATAAATACATCTGTATAATAGGCCCCTCAAACACAACAAGCACATGCTACCGGAACTAACCAAAACAACCTGTCAGCTGAGGTGCCTGAAGTATGACGGGATTATTCACGAGACCAAGCCCCAAGAACAAAGAGTCATATGATCAGGTCACACTGATGAGGCCGAGCGGTGGGTGGGATAAGAGCAAAGAGGACTAGAGCCGATGAGAAATGTTTGGAATGTGAAGTACAGTGTGGTGCCTTCGCTGCTGCAGACATTTGAATGGGAGAAAAAAAAAAAAAAAAAGGTAATCCTGGAGGATTAGGAGGAAAACTTCCAGAACATAATCTTGTCATTTGGCGCTCGTGTCAATAGAACCCCACTGTGACTCTGAAATAAATAAAGTTCACATTTAAATGGTCACAAAGCTGAAAAAGTGTTTGTTTTTGCTTGTTTATATGTGAAACAGCAGATTCACTAACCCTGAGGGGTTCTGTTCGCTGCCTCACTGGGTCATTATGATGCAAGATGAGACGTTAGATTTAACCCTTCAAAGGATTTCAAAAATGTAAATCCACCTCATTCAGCTAAATAACTATTAAAAATCGTTGTTTCATATATGTTGACGTTTGTGATAATTCAACGAGCAGGTTGTCCCAAAATACTTTACGACCAGTTGATATCACTGCACCAGACGTTCATATGTGTATCATGAAATTTCCAAATGGGACGAAAAAGGAGACCCTGACAGTTTCATCGGTGTTTCTCCCCCGTGTCACAGGATCACAGAAAGGGAATCAAAGTTTGCTTTCACATCTACTGAAATCTGGTGATGGTGTGATACAAATATTAAACTTGAAAATACGTCAAATGATGAAACGTTGCTTGTGTTGTTTATTGTTTAAGATGGTTCATTTTAGCGGATTGTTATCGGCCAACCAATAATTCGCTCACGCTCTAAGCAGGTGTGACAAGTGCCTCGGACCAAAGACCCAAAGAGACTTCAGAGCATTTACAGGAAGCTGAGGTGGCTCATCATCATTCAACCAGTAGAAGATAAAAATAACCGGTAGACAAGTAAAGATGATGTAGCACATGCATGGGAGAGGAGGAGATGAAATATTTAGCTGTAATGTGCTACAACGATAAAAATAAACCATAAGCCATCAAGACTGGATGATGCAGCGGCAACACAACGAATCGAATCATTATCCTCCATGAAAGCTAAAAAATGCTGTTAAACTGACATCACACCAACATCCATCACACACACACACACAGAGACAAACACACACACACACACACACACACACACACGGTTGAACCAATCACTGTCAGGTATAGTGTTTGTCAAACTTTGAAAAGCACAAACCATCGCTCTAGACGTTCAGCTGTGGAAACACCAACAGTGTTTGTTAAAGAAATGATTCAAACTGAGATAACAGACATGAAATAACAAGACATTTCTTGTCATCGCAGTCATTACCACAGTTTCAAACAATAATTTCATGAATGTTTGTCATAGTGCAGATGTCAGCAGCTGTCAACATACAGTCCAGTGGAACTAATTATAGAAAATGCTGCTTCCTTTAAATGTACCGAAGATGCAGTGAAATAATCAATACCTGACTCTTTTAATAGAGCTTAGTACAGCGCCTGATCTAAACTGAGTCAGTGAAATACAGACTCATTGAGAATTCAAGCAGTAGATCAACTTAAACTACACAACTCATTACTGTGAGTTTTCACAACACTTTGATTTGTGTTGCTTATTTTTCTCAGACAACAATATATAGATGGTATTTACTACACTGTGCTGGATTCTGAGCTGCTGTTTTCAGACATGAACTCTGAAAAAATGTCCGCTTGATCGGGTCCAGACATTTTCCAGACTTTGCCTTTCACAACAGGAAAACGCAGCAGGAGATCGTCTGAGTGAGACACGTCCACAACAACAGAGCATTCAGGTGAGGAGTAGGACCTCGATAGAGAATTCAGGAGTCTGGACATGACGTAGACATTCAGCTGCAGAAATCCCAGCGTCTGCCCTTATCAACAAAAAACACCTCTTTTTCATCCTGACATATTTCAGTTTTGCGTCGGTCTCATTAGAAACTTCAACAACACAATTCTCACATAGAGTCACTCAGACATTTTCTTTACTCGGGGAAAAGTTCTGGAAAATGTCAGCAGCAACTGACACAGACGTTTTCATTCTCACAAAAGAAAACACTAGACATTTTCAGGAAAAAATTTAAAAGGTTAATGGAACGATGATATATAATGATGAACATATACTAACCATACCATGGCTGAATACAAAAATTACTGATTCAAAGCATTTATTTTTGTAATTCTGTAATGTTGACAGTATCACATCATAATGCAAATTAGTATGTACATTTAATTGTGAAAAAACTACACAATGAGCCAAAACATACTAGAAGTGTTTCATCCCAGCTGAAGAAGTTTCACATTACACCACTGTTGATCGTACGTACCCGGCTCTGAACAGTTCTTCGGCTCCGTCTCATTCTCTGGAACTGAAGCCATGAGTCGTCTTCCCCAGTATTCCATGTTCGGCTGTCCTTCCACCACCATCCCATGACCTGCAACAGAAAAAAAGATTTGATTATCAGACTATCACATAAATACGGCATCTACGCCTGCGGCCAAGTCGACAGCACACAAAGTGTTGGACGTCAATAATTTAAAATCGTTCTTTTTGCTGCAGGGAAACATAGAAACTCCAGTTTTACATATTTCCATCTGACAAGGTGTTTATGTTTTCACCTATTTGCTGGTTGTTGTCAGCAGGATTTCACAAAAAATGACTTCACTGATTTCCACAAAACTTGAAGGCTGGGACATTGGACAATAAAGAACTCATTAGTTTTTTGGTGCAGATCTGAACAAAGACGTGGATCAAGGAATCCCTTTCTTAACCCTGATTTCCCAGAGACTCATTCATTGAGCTTGATTTTGAAAAGATCAGACATAACTATGGAACTATTATCTTTGAGTTTATTCCGTTTGGTGCAGCTTTATTCAATTTAAAAAAGGGATTGTTGGGCCTTGGAGGAGAAATGAGCTCTGCTGAGTGATATTCTGGTTTGAATACTGCCAATCTTGCACGGAATATGTTTCACGACCTAAAAGATCCATGATCATTTATCCAGATGATTTTCCTTTAGCGTTTTGTTTATGCCTATATGACATTTTCATCTGACGGCAGCAACAACATCAAAATGCAGATGCTGTGTCATTATGTTTTGGGATGGCAGAGTGGGAAGTGCAGAGTACAACTTTCATTTTTCATTAAACTGCTCTTAAGCTTCCGTAATGAGAACATAAAAACACAGCAGTCCCAAATCTATTATGTAAAATAAGCTGCCAATGAGCTGAGCAGCGTTTTTCATGCTGATTGAACTGTATTGTTGTATACACATTATGTGCTGCTCTATGGGGAGAACCCAGGACTGGTAGTTGTGTTCTTGTAGAATCAGCGAATCACCTCTGTCTGGCTCTTAGATGTAGGTTTCCCTGTGGCTGTGAAAAACCTTCTAGAGTCACATGATCCCTGGAACCATGTGAATGTCTGCGTATGATCGCTCAGTCTCATCAATTTCCCCTCTGGCTCAGTCTATGACCAAGTAACGGTGGAGACAAAGGAGACAACTAACTATTCAAAGGGAGAAAATTTAAAGTTGGCCTTTAAAGCAGATTCATTAGACAATGTGTTCTCATGTAGGAACCATTGGCTTCTTGAAATGCTCATAATCTTATGAGCATTTCAAGAGTGGAAAACTAAATCAGTCAAATGAGAGATATTATCTTCCTGCACATGTAACAGGATCAGTGATCAGCTGATAACAAGAAGATGCTTGAGGGGAAATATCAATTTATCTGCCCTTTTCCTTTTGGTCAAGTGTTGATCCTTTGTGATTCAACTCTTATTTCTAATGTTAGAAAGAAAAGTTCCTCGTTATTACAAGACTGAATCTTTTTTGTGATCGTGGCAGCAACACACTCCCATAATAAAGACTAAAGATTACTAAAGGAAATGATGCTGCCATGAAATAAACAGTAAAAGAGGTTCATTCTGATAGACTGGCCCATCTTTTACAATGACTTTAAAGCATTGAATAACTAATCAAAGCCAAAATGGCAGAAATCATGTTTGAAATTGTTTATTTGATGTAGACTTTGACTCATGTCCCATCCATTAACATGGGAGAGGCAGGGTTTGTAGCCTATGCTGCAGCCAGCGGTGATCAAGACGCTTTGGTCTCTCTTTTCGGGAAAATGAGAAGAGGAAGTTTAAATTAATTAATGTGTGAATTTTGTTTCATTAACGACTTGAATGATTTATAGATTTGAATTCTAATTTGAAGTAAATTATAAACTGTGAAAAGCCGCGACACATCTGCTCTTGCCCTTCCAGCATCGCTTTGCTCTCCGCTGAGAGACCAGGGAAAATATGTGGTTCTTTAGCGGCTAATGCTTCGCTGTGTTCACCAGCAAGTCGCTAACTGTGTCAGTTTGCCATTTGGTTACTAAAGAGGTCAGTCTGCAGAAGGTTTGTCAGAGCTCTTTGCACATAACAGCTGCCTCCTGCGATTTGAAACAAAGCTGATGGGAGTGGAGACTTAAAAACACGGCGGCTCCAGACTAGAAAAACAAAACAACTAGAACTTCACTAAGTAGAGCGCACACCTCCGCCAAGGCCCCGACAGTCCCCTTAAATGTAATCTAGCCACACCCTAAATGTACCTCATTGTTTTCAACAAGGTCCATGAACTTTCTTGTGGGAAATACACGAAAAAGTTGAAAAAAATGCCCCATCTTGAAATGTATGAAGGGATAAACACTTCCTGGATCCGCCCCCTGATCCAGAATCACACCAAATTGAATGGGTTCTTCGCCGACTCATACCACATCCTTCCACATAGTTATGATAATCTGTCCACTAGTTATCCTGCTAAAAAACTGACACACAAACAAACGCAGATAAAAACACAACCTCCTTGGCGGAGGCAGATATTACGAGTAGCCCTTTACTTCATTGTGGATATAAAACTGGACCTGACTGTTTTTTCAAAGGCACAGAAATGACTTCATTAAATGTGGGTTTTAATCCAGCATAGTTGGGACAGCCTGGAGATCAGCAGGCGCTGGACAAACAGATTGTGCACAAGGCGACTGCAGCTGCTTCCCACAGTGGTCTGATCCAAAAGACCGAACCCTCCAGTCATCGCTCCAACCTGTTCCTCCTCACTAACCAGCTCAGCCTCTGGTCTCCCCGTTTCTGTTTACTTCTGTTCTAGCAACGCTCACAACAACAGCTCTGTCTGATTTGACTTTAGGGGGCAGGATGTAAATAGGTGGAACGTATTGTGTTTGACAAGAAAACAACTGTTTAGGGAACTAAGGCGAATATCAAGCTATCACACTACTTTTAAAAAGGACATTTTGCATATCATCACAAAGCATCAGTGAACGCTATTCAGAGGAGACGTTCAGTGGTGGAGGAAGTATTCAGATCCTCTATTACAAGCAGCGACATTCAAAACCCTAAATTAACATATGTATCAGCAAAATGTGCTTTAGGAATGAAAAGTAAAAGTTCTTGTAATGCAGTAAAATGTTTTACTTCTCCATCTGAAGGTTGATCTCACCTCAAACTAGTTTATATACTGTTATTTATATACATCATATTCCTTAAGATCATTATGTTTCTGTGAGAACCTTGTAACTTTCATGAGCTCAGAAAAACAGCTAATCCAACGGGCTTTTTAACGAGCTGATTCAGGAACTACTAATTTAAAGTACCAGAAATGTGTATTTATATTTGTCGACTTTACAGACAGCCACATGTTACGCTGATGATGATGAGAGTGTTACGGTCTCTGCACAAAAGTCAGCACAGACTATGTAACAAATGCAACCACTAATTTCATGGTGTCATTTGTGGATTAGTACTTACTTGACCAGAACAAGGAAATCTTATTGGTTTAAAACGGAAGATCTACGAAATCAGTTTTCACCAAGACAAAGCATCAGTGTGTGTGTGTGTGTGTGTGCGTGTGTGTGTGTGTGTGTGTGTGTGTGTGTGTGCGTACAGTTGACGTTCAGTAACTGTGCTCTCTGCCAAACACTTGAGAGGGAAAACAAAGGCGACGTGATTCTGTCAGTACTTCGCAGTCTGTTCTTCTCCATGTTGACTCACTGATTAACGGTCGTACTCACTGTTCGATGACCAGTGTTCTGCTGTCATAAAGGAACTTGTTCTTTAAAACTAATTCATTCTCAGTTTTGTGACGACGGGAAATCTCAAAAGACGCCTCGAGCCAAGATCTCATCAGATCCTTAAATAACCGATTAGTCAAGTGTTTTAAATAATCTGTGGATTAGTTGATCGGCTGAATTAAATCAACGCCTGAAAACAATTTTTAAAATTATACTTATCTATTTCTGTTTAGAAATTCAATCACTTTTTAAGGTGATTGACATCTATGAGTTGATTGAATATAAGGAGACTGTTGGGCCGTGGCAGATTGCTTGGTTTATATATATGTACTTGGTTTTAGTATAGAGGAGAGAGGCTGAGCTGAAATCCTAAAGACTACATTGAAAACAGGGTTATATTAAAAAGAGGGAGCACATCTCCTTGGCTATTTTGGAGAAGTAAGAAATGACCTCTGATGGGATTTAAAAAAAGGCTGTGACTAAACCTCCATCAGACTACACTGAGCAGCAGAGGGACACAGAATGGGCAACGACAGCACAGTCGTAATGTCATCCCTGCAGCTCTGCTCAATCAGCCCAGGAAGGAGATGGACCAAGGACAGCCATCCATCAATCTTCCTGTGCTGTGAACACGCTCCCTTATACGAGTATTCACCCTCTCGTCGACAGAATCATCTCCAGCAGTCTGCCGCCATCCCCCCCTCGCCCGTCACCGCCAGCCCGCTGCAGCTACCTGTCAGAGCTCGGGCCCTGCCCTGCCGCTCCAAAAACACCTGTTTTACAGTCTCCCGTGCCGAGCTCCATCACACATGAAGCCCGATCTGCATGCACGACAACATGTTGGGCCCCACCCCTCTTTATGGAGACGTAACCCAGGAGTAGTACATCAAATCCCATCCATCTGGACCATTCGGCACATCAACGCTGCACCCACCTCCCCTTACACTGCTATCAATCAAATGAGAGGCAAACACGTGGCACAGGTTTGTGACTGAGATATGACGAATGCTCGCTCCGTGTTGTGATGGCTGAAAGATGAGAAGGCCGTTATGGTTGGACTTTGTGGTCTCTTGGGTTCAGATGGGGATTTTCTGCTTCGCCCCTCATCAAACACTTCTCATGCATGTCACCTTGAAACCACCACCACCAGAGCTGCTGCTGGGACTGGGATTCACAAGAAATGCCTTCTGTCAAATACCCCCACATGACAATCACTGTGTGGGTCAGGCGAACTTGATTAAATGAAAAAAAAAAAAGGGCGAGCCATTAGAGACTGACTTACTTTGGCTCCCACAGCCTGCCTTTGGAGATAAGAGATTTGTACTCGCCTGTATGATATCATTCCAGAATAATCTTTTAAGCCTCTTGTTGTTTTTAATGTAATTAATAAAACTCCAGATACATCCGTTAGAGATCTACAGTCAGGCAAATAGCGGTGGTGAGTTTTACAGCCGCGCTTCCAGCCTAAGTGGTTGCAGATGGACGGATCCAGGGTCTGGGGGCTGAGGCTTTGGGGGGGTTAGGGTTAGGAGAAGCACTTGCTCTTTCACACAAAAATATCCTGATTAAAAAAATGCAGCTGGAATAAAAATTCTCAAAATTCATGTTGGCACTGACAGAACACTGAGTGTGTGTGTGTGTGTGTTTTGTAATTGCCCCCTGATCCCAGTGTGTGTCAGATATCATTCTTCACCAGCAAAATGTCAAGGTTGGTGGTTGGATTACATAACCGTGTGGGAGACTGTGTGGGATGCTCTGAGTGTCAGCGAGTCCACGGGCCTGAAGTAAGAGTTTTGACACATGTGCATGGAAGGGCATGTTGTTGTGCAGTGTGTGTGTGTGTGTGTGTGTGTGTGTGTGTGTGTAGGAATCACACGCGTCACGCATGTTCAGCCAAATCTATCGTTGCACACCTCGGACACGAGCTATGAACATTGCAACATGGAGCGAGCAGAAAGCATCCCACCCTCCCTCCTTTTGCCTAAAAGGCCTCTGCGTAAAAATCGGCATCCCCCTCCGATCGCCATGCGGAGCCTGGCAGCAGCGTGATGATGGTGCACGAGTGTGATCGAGCTGAACCACTGTGTGTGTGTGTGTGTGTGTGTGTAAAGTCAGACACGATGATAACCACAGCTCCAGTGTTGTGGGACCGAGGATTTCTGCGCCTGGCACCAGAAGGAAAAACGCCACAATTTGGATTAAAAACGCGGAAACAAGCCAAAATCTGGGTTCGTTGCGGGGTCGGTTACTTTGGATCGGTGCATGTGCGCATGTGGAGCAGGAGGAGGTGTGCGTGTGAGCGCCGTGACCATGAGCCTGCCTCTCAAATTAAGAAACGTGCCGCTGCCACAGCGCTCACACTGCGGCATACATACACCGACAAACAGGCGCGTTAATTCTCCAAATCAAACAACCCTGCGAGCTGAAAATATATCTCTAACATGTGCAGATGACTTTTCCTACTGACTGATGAAGCAGCGGGGCTAAATGCATCCTGTGATATTCTAACGCAAACTACACACGCGTCCTAAATCAAAAATAATCACTATCAAAGGCGTCACATGCGCATTTTGGACAATACGGAGACGCTCCTGCTCCAAAATGCGCACGGATGCAATGTTTCCATAGCGTGTCCTTGACATTACTGGGGGTGTTGATGGAGGGCAGGTGTAGCTCCGTGGTTGCATGTAATTCACGAGCATGTGTGTGCATGATTACACTGCAGTCTCCCCCCTCATGCACTCACCTGTCTTGGTCAACAGCGCCGACATGCTCCACGCCACGAAGAGGACACTGCAGATGAAGCACACCTGCACGAAAAGCATCTCCCTCCTCTTGCGAACTTTAAAGATCCTCGCGATTATTGTCTTTTTGGACGAGCTCATGGTGTCGGTGTCGTCCCGCTCCATGCTTCGCAGTTCGGGCCGGCGGGCACTTCTGTCCCTCTTCCTCCTCCCCCTCCGCTTCTTTTCCCCTTTTTTCCGTGCGTCCTTGAGAGCCGATGAAACAGCCGCCCCTCTCGCCTCAGAGCCGGGATGTGCCACTCATTTCACGCCGTCCAGGACAGTTTCTCTCCCCGCCTTCCTCCTGTTGGGTCTCCCCGGGAGCTTGAGCCTCTCCTCGCTGCTGCTGCTGGGACCGGGCGAACCGGGCAATGACACGGAGCGGTCAAATTCCGACGCTCCCGGATTCGGATCGTGCGAGCGGCAGAAGAGCTCCTGCTGCAACGTGCATCCTGTCCCGTGAAGAAAAGCGAGAGAGAATTAAAAATATATATCTCGGCTGCGATATCCTCCTCCTATCCGTGTTTTTTTTTTTTTTTTTTT